TATATAGCAAGGGGACGGCATACAAAAACTTTAAATAAATAAATAAAATAAAGCAAGTAGGAGTGGCAGAAATGGCAGCGGTCTGTGTCAGCCAGTATTTTGCATGGCCAGTGGCAGCGCTGCTGCGGCTTGTGGTGAGGAGAATGTTTGCCACCCTGGTAATGCTGTCTTCCTGCCCTGCCGTGTCTCTTTCAGAACCCTGCTGCCTTTGACTTCCTTCTGCAGCGTGTGGAGAAGACACTGCGACACGCCATTGAGGAAGAGGAGGGAATTCCCTTGGACCAAGTGACCAATTTCCAGAAGGTAACCTTGGCTTTACCTTCTGTGATGAAGCAGCATTGTCTGGTCCTGGACAGGAGACGGGACAGTAGCGATCGGCCTGTTCGGGCCCGTGCTCTCTTCCCTCTAGTTTGCCCTCGTTGCAGAACTCGCCTTCCCTTACCACTGCCTGGCTGCTGTGCCTCTTCTTCTTGCTTACGCGCTGCTTCTCCCTTTTCCTCCTTCCCAGCCTCCACTTCTGACCTGCTGCCTCCCCCCCGCCCCGTTGCTCTCCCTGCAGGCCATGCATCTCCCCGGACTCACAATGTGGACCCCCAGCCCAGCCCCCGGCAGCCCAGCCCCATTATTAACCTTGTTTGTGAGAGGGGTTCTGGCTCATGGGGAAGAGCCCCTTTGCGTGCAGAAAGTCCTGGGTACAATCTCGGCTGAAAGCCCCTGCTGCCTGGAATGCCACGGAGCCACTGCCAGCCCTTGTGGGCAGGCCTGGGCCAGATGGACCTGAGGCCTGACTCCATAGGGGGCAGCTTCCTGTGTTCCTTCTCACTGTTCCCTTCCTTGGCTTGGCCCCCCGGCAGACGAGTCTGTTCCTCTCGCCACAGGTGTGCGATGAAATCAAGGTCAAGCTGGGTTCCTTGAGGGATGTTCCCAACAGGATTGAATGCCCCTTGATCTACCATCTGGATGTGGGGGCCATGTATCCCAATATCATCCTGACCAACAGGCTGCAGGTGGGTGTTTGTGCTGCAGAGAGCTCAGGGTTCCTCCTGTGCTCACGTCTCGGCATTGGGCGCCCGGGACTAGTCCCCTGCTGCAGGGACAGGACTGCCTTGGTTGAAGGACGGAGTTCTCTCGGGTCAAAAGGAGCCTGTTTCCGAAAATGGGACTCATATGACCCACCTTCAGCTGTACTTGAAATGTTTTGAGCAAGGAACTGGAAAGCTTTTCTGCCCATTTGGAGCACAGTGCAGAATAAGTCTTCTTTTTGTGCCCATGAGATTCATTGTCATTTATTCTGCACAGAGCATTTCCCACACGGTGCTTGTTTGAGGCAACGAACCTCCTTCACAATCCATGGCTGCTTCTAGGGATTCTTCAACCCACCGTGGGTTGGTGTGACATCTGAACCAAGAGAGCGGTTTAATTGGCTAGCAAGCATCTTGGTGAGAGCAGCAAAAAGCAGCAGGCGCAGGAGGAGGGGCAAGCACTCTCACTGGGTTGTGTAGTCCTCTGGCTCTGAAGTGTGGACAGGCCAGTTCCCAGCATCCTCCCCCTTTGCAGTAGCTCCCTTCATCTCCAGCAGCTCCAGACAGGGGAAATATTAACTCCCCGCATCCCTGTGGGATCTTTTCAGAGCACTTAGTGCTGTGCTTACTGCTGTTCTCTGACCGTTCTTAAAATCTCCTGAGAGGGCAGCTGAATGGTCTGGAAAATGTGGAGCCCCGTGAGGGCTGAGCGGGTGCAAGTGCTGCTGGTGCTGAAGGAACCGGCAGTGGAAGCAAAGGGGGCGATCGGAGCAGGGCGGAGGGCCAAGGTGGGGCCGCTGGGCAATTCAACGGGCTGCCACTGGAGGACAAGAGGGAAGGCAAAGCCCAGCGAGTCCGGCCCTCCACTGGGGCACACCATGGGTCCTCCTCCAAGCAGCCCATCTGGCATACCTTGCCAGCTGGGTGGCTTTGCGTGCCGGGCCATGAGCAGCCATTATTTTCTTAATAAGGGGAGATCCGTGCTGCAGCCTCCCTTCGCCAGAGCAGTCTCTTTCTTGCCGCCTTCTGAGGGAAGGAGGAGAACAGCTGGTGTTCCAATGTCCTCGTGCTTCCAAGGCAGAGGCTGCTAAGGCGTGAACAGCTGGCCGGTGGTAGAGTATCTCTCCCTGGAAATGTGCAGCGCAGAAGAGCCGCTGTGGGCAGGAAGGAGTCTTCCAGCCGCTGCTGTCCTCAGTGGCTCTTGGAGCCACACGCTCCTCCTGGGCCACACGCACGCCAGTGCTCCCTAAGAGGGTAGTGTCAAAGCCGTCTTGTGCCCATTTCGCTGTTCTCCTGGCGGCAAGACGCGGCTTTACCTGGCCCAAGAGCATCCTGGGCTGCTTCTCTGCAACCAGTTGTACCTGTCCCCTCGCCTCTCTTCCCTCCTCAGCCATCGGCAATGGTGGATGAAGCCACGTGTGCGGCCTGCGACTTTAACAAGCCAGGAGCCAACTGCCAGCGGAGGATGACTTGGCAGTGGAGGGGAGAGTTCAGTGAGTGTTTGCCTTGTGCTGCCCCCTCGGCCGGGCGCTCGCTCGCTCGCTCGCTCAGCCACGCTTCTCCAGTCTTGCCCTGTCCAGAGGCGTTCTCAGTATCTGCTCTCCTGCTTGCAGTGCCCGCCAGTCGCAGCGAGTACCACCGCATCCAGCAGCAGCTGGAGTCAGAGAAGTTCCCCTCTCTCTTCCCTGACGGGCCTCCACGGGCTTTCCACGAACTGACCCGAGAGGAGCAAGCGAAATATGAGAAGAAGCGCTTGGCAGGTGAGAAGAACCTTCAGTGCTCCAGGTGGGAACTGTGTGCAGCCGTGGCCTGGTTCTTTCCAAAGGGTGCCTGGAAGGCAGGTGAGGTGGCCTGGGCTGGTGCTTTGGGGGCTTTTGGCCTTTTCCTTTAAACTTGAAGTGTTCCAGCTGGCTGGGATCATGGTGGGTTCAGGTCGCCTAGTCAGACCAGAGATTCCCTTTCAGCTGGCGAGCCCCGTTGTTGCAGTGTGCCCTCAGCCCCCAGGTACAAGGTGGGAGGAGGAGCAGCAGCTCTCCTGGGCCCCTGGTGCTGCCTCCCTCCCTCTGCACTTCGTTCCCTGATGAAAAGTCCAACTTCACTCCAAAGAGGCCATCTGGAGCGGTAAAGCAGATCTCCCAGCAAGTGCGGTTGCGTTTGCCACTTTCTCTTTCCCGTTGGGCATGCCCTGCCAACAGTAGCTCTCAGAGGGCACAGTGTGGAGTGCAGCTGCTGGGAGTCCAGTTATCCCCCCCACCCCGGCCCCATTCAGCACTGGCTGCTTCCGGTAGCGCTGAGCCCTCTGTCCATCCCGTATGTCATATGCCGGGATCCCTCGTGCTGCCCTCGTGCTGCCTGCGGATGCTGCAGAGATCTTTTCTCAAAAGCGCTGCCTCACAAAGGGGTGAGAACATGTGGCTTTTTCTGCCGCAGTCTGGGCAGCATTGTGCATTTCGGAGCGTACAGCCTCCGCCTCATCTCTTGGCCAGATTACTGCCGCAAAGCCTACAAGAAAATCCACGTGACGAAAGTGGAGGAGCGTGTCACCACCATCTGCCAGCGGGAGAACTCCTTCTACGTGGACACTGTGCGGGCCTTTCGGGACCGACGCTACGAGTTCAAGGGGCTGCATAAGGTGCTCCTCTTTGTGGCTTTGATGTGTGCAGCACGATCAAGGGGGGCTTCGACCCCCTGAGTGACCTCAGGTGCTATTTGTCTTGACAGCAAGATGGGGCGCAGCTCAAATGACGCGCTCAGTCTTTCACAGCCAGGGCTCCGCTTAGTGGAGAGCCCTCCTCCCTCTCTGAAGGCCCTTCTGTTAAGAACTGCAGGGTGGGCCTAACCAAGGGACCCCACAATAAAGAAATTGGCTCCAGGAAAAAAAAGATCTTTTGCACAGCCTTGGCGTAACTTCCCGCACATGCAACCCAGATCCCTTTTCGCTTCTCAAAATGCTGTGTGGCCATTTCTCCCACGGTCGGAGGCTAGGGGCACGCAAAGTCTCCGTCATGTGCAGAAAATCTGCCAGGTGCCCCTGTTTTGGCTTCCTGGGATCCAGCCTGCTTTGTGGCCAGGTGCCTCGTTCTTCCCCGTTGTCTCCCTGTCCCTCTGCTGAAATATCACCTGAAAGGATAAGAAGGAATGAGGCGAACAAAGAAGGGAGGAAAGCAGCTGCAGTGAACCTGACCATTTGCTGGGGGTTTAAAGACTCTGGGCTTACAGCTTGGCTCAGCCCTTAATAGTTTTTATGTTAAGTTTTTATTTATTGTACTTGCATGCTGCCCCATAGCCTGGGGGCTCTCCAGGCGGCTCACAGGAAACCGGAAACTGCCTCAGAGTGATTTTGTGCCTCAAAGTACTCTCTTCAACCTGAGTGCATTAAAACACTGACTTTATCCATGAGGGCTAATTGGAGGCAGCCCAGGGCCAGTGTGGGACTTTTATCTGCCTGCTCCAGGTGTGGAAGAAGAAGCTGGCTGCAGCCATGGAGATGGGAGACGCCTCGGAAGTGAAGCGCTGCAAGAACATGGAGATCCTGTACGATTCCTTGCAGTTGGCACACAAGTGCATCCTCAACTCCTTTTATGGATACGTCATGCGCAAAGGGTGAGTGAGGGGCCACAACTCCTGGCTGCAAGGTGATCTTACAGCCCCAAGGAAAAGAATAATGCTCCAAAACGTGCTCTCTTTCTCCCAATTTTTTGCTGGCTTTCAGTTTTAAGTGGGAAGCCATTTCTCCATTTTCTTTTCTCCGAGCTTTCCTGTCCTACTATGCCATTTTCCTTTTTTGAGCATTAGCATTCTAATGCCGTATAACTTACAGGCAGGATCTGCACCGAGGTCAGGGACCAGCCATCAGTGTGGCCTCCAATACGGCCGGCAGTGTGCTCTGCAAGCACAAGCTGCGGATGGGTGCAGGCAGGAGCTGCTGTGGCATTCGCGCCCTGCTCATGGGTTTTCCCCTGAGGCCGCCGGGCGGGTGCTGCAGGAGCGGAGCACGTTATCAGGGGCCTCTCATCCTGTCCAGCAGAGGCCGTCTTGTGTTCTTAAGACGCTTCAAAGTGCATCGTCTCAGTCTTTACAGTGACCTTGTAAAGTAGTTCAATATGATTTCTGCCAACGGAATACCCGTTGTTACCAATAGCAACAGAAAGATGAACTGTAATGCATTTTCAAGTACACTTGTGTACAGATACAGTGCACGGTGCACCAAGACACATTATGTGTTTGTACGCACATGCGCACGCCTCCTCCTTGCGGGGCCCGTTAGCAGCTGAGCCAGAGCGGCAGCCCAGATTTCCTTTTTCTTCTAATGGCAGCCCCCCAATGCCATACCACAGTCCGTGCAATGAGGGCCACTGTCCCTCAGTATGAAGAATCAAGCCTTCCTCTTTCTGCTTGCCCCTTTCTGGGTTCTGGGTCTGGTCACGCTAAATTCTGCCAGACTGTTGGATGTTGTTTAATACGACACAGATGGGCTGAGTCTGACACAGGGCTGACTTGCCGAAAGCCACCTTGTGAATTCACAACCAGAGTGGCATTTTGCACTTGAGCATTCTTGGCTCGGGCTCTCAGCTGCAGCTGCCCCCAGCGGTCCTCTGGGCAGATCAGATCGGTCCTCAAAGCAGTTAAGAAAGCAGTCATTAAAACCTCCACAAGGTGTTTTCCGCAGCCTGTAGTACCGCTTCATGCCCTGTGTTTCCTGTCCCTACGCAGCGCTCGGTGGTACTCCATGGAAATGGCTGGCATCGTCTGCTTCACTGGTGCTAGCATCATCACGCAGGCCCGAGAGCTGATAGAGCAGATTGGGTGAGTCCTGGAATGAGCTGGCACTGGGTGCAAGAGAAGTTGCCAGACTGTTTAGGTGGGCAAATAAACAATAGGAGATTCCAAGCTTGGGTGCATGCACATTACCCCAAAGCAGTCCCCCCTCCTCCTTTCTTGACCCACTGGTGGGTGACCCACTTCTGGCTGTCTTCTCTCTCTGGCTATGAGAAACGGCTGGCGCCAGTCTGAAGGCACTCTTCTCCTCCTTCCCTTGCTCTGTTCCTTTCTGCATCATGCCAGAAAGAGAAGCGAGGTCTCGGGAGCAATTCAGAGAGAAAGAAAGGCATGCAGTGCAAGGCTGTTGCATCAGGACCTTCAGGAGTGTTGAGTGATGCGGATTTCCTTTTACTGTAGGTAATCTGAAACTCCCATCGGCCCTAGGCATCATAGACAACAGTGATGGATGGCCAGAGTGTCAGTCCAAAAACATGCGGAGGGCCACACATTCCACATACTGCCTTAGAGAGTAATCTAATCTTGTATGATTATTTTACCTGTTGTTGTTTAGCAAAGTCACATTCAACCCATCGCGACCCCATGGACAACATTCCTCCAGGCCTTCCTGTCTTCCACCATCCCCCGGAGTCCACTTAAGCTCACACCGACTGCTTCAGTGACTCCATCCAGCCACCTCATCCTCTGCCGTCCCCTTCTTCTTTTGCCATCTATTGTTCCCAGCATCAGGCTCTTCTCCAGGGAGTCCTTCCTTTTCATTAGGTGGCCAAGGTATTTGAGTTTCATCTTCAGGATCTGGCCTTCTAAAGAACAGTCAGGGTTGATCTCCTCTAGGACTGACCGGTTTGATCGCCTTGCGGTCCAAGGGACTTGCAGGAGTCTCCTCCAGCACCACAATTCGAAGGCCTCAATCCTTCGGCGCTCAGCCTTCCTTATGGTCCAACTTTCACAGCCATACATTGCAACTGGGAAAACCATAGCCTTGACTATACACACTTTTGTTGGCCGGGTGATGTCTCTGCTTTTTAGTATGCTGTCTAGATTTGCCATAGCTTTCCTCCCCAGGAGCAAGCGTCTTTTATTTTCTTGGCTGCAGTCCCCATCTGCGGTGATCTTGGAGCCCAGGAAAATAAAATCGGTCACTACCTCCATTTCTTCCCCATCTATTTGCCCTGAATGCCTGCTCTTCTATCTAATGTGACATGTCAGAGTTCCCAAACATAGGCATCAGTGCAGAGGGTGGAAATTCCTGTTTGGTACCTCTTTAGGTAAAAAGAAAGCCAAAACAAGGCCAGTAGTCATAATTCTAGCTCTCAAGAGAAGCTGGAATTACTTGATATAGTGCCTTCGGGTTATGGGGTGGCATTGAAATGGAATTTATTTATAGTAGAGAAGAATTTCCAGTGGATGTTGTCAAGGGCCTTTTGCCTTTTGTCAAAGCATCCAAAGAAGCAATGTAAACAAGTATTGCTAATGAGCTTATAAAATGGGAAAGTAACACCCTGGAAACCTCTCAGGAAATCCTCAGCCCTGCATTGCTGCAGTGCTGTTTCTTTTTTCAGCACATCCTCTGACCTGCCACCTTGAAATCCTTTCCCCTTTCTAGGAGGCCCTTGGAGCTGGACACAGATGGGATCTGGTGTGTCCTGCCAAACAGCTTCCCAGAAAACTTTGTCATCAAGTCAACCAACAGCAAGAAGCCCAAAGTGACGATTTCCTACCCAGGTGCCATGCTGAACATCATGGTGAAGGTGATGAACCTCAAACCTTTTGTCTTCATAGGCGGCCTGCAGATTCTTGCGCCATTGTTGGGCCTTTCAGAGAACGGCATGGAGGCACACAACAGAATCACACTGTTGAAAACCAGTGGGGTAGCATCAGCTGTGTGTAGGGCCATCAGGAAAGACGGTGGCTTCCTGGCCAAATAGTGGCCTTGCATGCAGACGGTCATGGGATCCATCCTTGGCATCTATCACCAGCATGGTTCCAGGTGGCAAGTTGGAAAAGGTCCGTGCCTTAGGCCCTGCAGGCCAGCTGCCTCTCCAAGTAGATAGTCCTAGGCTAAATGGACTGCTGGAAAGCCACTTCCGATGATCATGGGTTTGGCCCTGCACAGCCGCCTTAAGTCGCACAGCCGCCTCCAGAAGGAGAAATGCTGTAGAAGTGGGTTGGTCTGCATACTGCAATTATTTGGAAAAGTATTGGAGTGCAAATCTTCCAGTAAATATCAACTTCTTAAACCAAGCAGGAAGGGACTTCCATTCAGTGCCTTTCCCGCAGCGTGGATGGGATTGTGCGCTACAGCTGTTGAATCAAGATGCATGCAAGGGCAGTGCTGGGTGGGAAATCAGTTGGGACATCTTAAATCTAGCTTTAAAAAAGGCTTCTAGTTCTTACACCTAGAACTAGATGAGCAACCCATCTAAGCATTTCTCGAGTCAAGGAAGGCCTGCACTATGCCACAAGGAGGCAAGAAATGACGCTTCAGTGCCTGGCATATTTTGTTTTGGTCACATAAACAATGGCCTCATCACGGAGAATGCTAGCTTATGATATGGGTGGTTAAATTCTGGGTTACTGCAATGTATAAACATGGTTGCACAAACAAACCAAGGTTTATTAACCGAGAACAACCCAGGAGAAGAACCTATGGTTTGTTGTAGGATTGTGAACTCTGGATTATTTCAGTCATGGACTATTGTTGCATGTGAATCCACAACTGTGGGATGGTTTCACCAGGCTGCAGAAGCGATAGCAAGAGCAATTTCTTTAAAAGCCTGTATATATGCCAGTTATACAGCACCATAGAGGCATTTCTGATACAGAGAGACACACACAACCCTTAGCTGGTTCAGTTGTCTTCCAGACAGGCCCTGGGCAAAATCCGTGGGCTGGAGTTACACGGGAGCCAGGCAATACACTTGACAGTGGGTTGGACAGACCTGTTTAGGACTGCAACAGAAGTGCGTGGAGGGGTGCGGCGTGAGGCCTGCAGTACAGAAAGCGTGTGCATCTCTGCTTCCAGGAAGGGTTTACAAATGATCAGTACCAGGAGCTCGTGGACCCGGCCACTCTCAAATATGTTTCCCGCTCAGAGAACAGCATCTTTTTTGAAGTGGATGGGCCTTACCTCGCCATGATTCTGCCAGCCTCCAAGGAAGAGGGAAAGAAGCTGAAGAAAAGGCGAGAACCCAGGGCTTGAGGGAGCCCTCCTTCACAAGGGACAGGCAGACTGTGCAGTAGACACTGGGAAGGGAGGGGAATTAAATTACTGGAGGAAAATGCTTGGTATGGGGGTGGTTGTGAAAGGCCCTGCTCCTCCAGGTATAAGGAGGCTGGATACAGGCCACAGAAAGATGTGGTGGGGGCTGGGAGGAGAAAGTCAGCCTTGCGCATCCAACGTTTCCTCTGCGCCAGGTATGCCGTGTTTAACGAAGACGGCTCCCTCGCCGAGCTGAAGGGGTTTGAGGTGAAGCGCCGTGGGGAGCTGCAGCTGGTGAAGATCTTCCAGTCCTCCGTGTTTGAGGCCTTCCTGAAGGGCACCACCTTGGAGGAGGTCTATGCCTCGGTGGCCAAAGTGGCAGACTACTGGCTTGATGTGCTGTACAGCAAGGTGGGTGGGGGCCGGGCAGTCCCCTGCTTCCCTGCCGCAGGGTGGCCAGGCGCCGCCCCACAGGGGCTCCGGCAGCTCCGGGGCCGGGCGGCAGACGGCGATCAGCGCGCTGGGGCGACAGGCGCTGTGTGGCTCCACGGGAGGGCTCCGTGCCCCGGCGGAGCTCAGAGGAATTCTGTGGCCGATTCCCGTCGCCGCTCCCTGAGCGCGCACGCCCGGCCTGACGCGGCTGTACACGGCCGGCCAGAAGGCCTGTCTAGCTGCGTCATCACGCCTGCGCTCCTTCCTGACGGCCGGCTCACAGGGGTGCATGCCACGTTCCCGACCCAGCATGTGTCCCGCGAGGCGAGGCTCTGAACTGAGGATCTTTCCCCCTAGTGAAAGTGTTTAGTGAGTCCGCTGGCAGTGCTGACCAAGTGCAAAAGCTCCGCAGTGCAGCCCTCCAGGCAGGCCTGGGAGTCCAGCGTTCTGTCTGTGTCCGAGCCCGCAGGGGCAGGGTCCTCATCAGGATGCACAGTGACCGATCGCTGGCCTTGCAGCTGTCCCTTCCGGATTCTTGCATTCTGATAAAAAGATCTTCTCAGCAGCAAAGATCAGGTCGGACAGGGCTCCCCAGTGGACTAGCTCAGCTGCGGGAGTTTTGGGTGGGCCTCTGCATAAATGCAGAACCAGTACGTGTGACCCCACAGCCACCTGAAGGGAGTGTTACAGGTAAGCAACCGACCTGCTTTTCTCATTCCAGGCGGCCAATATGCCTGACTCGGAGCTGTTTGAGCTGATCTCGGAGAACCGATCCATGTCCCGGAAACTGGAGGACTATGGAGAGCAAAAATCCACTTCTATCAGCACAGCCAAACGCCTGGCTGAGTTCCTGGGGGATCAGATGGTGAAGGATGCAGGCCTGAGCTGCCGATACATTATCTCAAAGAAACCGGAGGGGTCTCCAGTCACTGAGAGGTACAGCAAGAGATCCAGGATGGCAGATTTCATTCTGGTGGGAGTTGGAAGCAAAGTGTTTGAGGTCAGACTTCCTCCAGAGACACGGGGGAAACTGGCTCAGATTTACAGGCTGAAGAGGGGTCTTTGCATGTCTCCAGGCGGACTTCGAGTGAGTAGCAGTAATAAATGTTCCCTTTGCCATTTTCTCAGGGCCATCCCACTTGCCATTTTCCAGGCTGAGCTCTCGGTGCGCAGGCACTATCTCCGGAAGTGGCTCAAGAGCCCCTCCCTGCAGGACTTCAACATCCGAACGGTAACCAGAATGGCGCTCTTCAAGGGCTCTGCTTTCTAGGGCTACAGTGGCTGCTTTTCCAGTCTTAGACCTATAAAGAGTTTTCCTGCCTCAGCCCATTTCTTCCCATCTCCGTGGGCTTAACCAGAGTTCCCTGCATCTGTTATAGATCCTGGATTGGGACTATTACATTGAGAGGCTAGGCAGCACCATCCAAAAGATCATCACCATCCCAGCGGCACTGCAGCAGGTAATGTGGCACGGGAGGGTGATGAGTGATCAGGGCAGGCCAAGGCTGTCGGCTGCCGCGTGGTGGGACGAGGCAGAGGGTGTTTCCCACCCGTGGCCCCAGGCTCTGTTAGGCTCTGTCTTTCTGAACCAAAAGGAAGCTGTTAGGAGCACTAAGTACCAGGATTCATACCAAGAAAAGTCATGTTGCTGCTCATTTAAGATTTAATGCGTCCTTATCTGACGCATTTTTACTATATAATTCCCAAAGGTACTTTCAGTACAGTTTTAAAATTCTAATAATAAAAATAGTAAGATGGCAGAACAAAGCAACAGTATTACGAGGAAAGCCCTGGGGCAGGTTATAACTTAAAAATGGAACCATCTGCCACATTTTGTGTGGGTGGTTTTTGTTGTTACTTTGCGGCAAACAAAAGCCAAGATGCTTGGCATTCTGAATCAAATGCTTTGGGCCTGGCAGCCCTCTCTGCCCTGCCTCTGCCTGCAGATTCATGTGGGGCACGAATGCCGGGTTTCCCTCGCTGAAGGACCTTGAGGCTTTTGTGGTGCAGCGTGACTGGGCAGCCACTCCATGGGTGCCGTTCTCTGTGCTTCTGGTGTGGCTTCCTTCCGTCTGCTCAGGACACAAACTGGCAGCTTCACCGCTAGAGTAATGAAGCACATGCAGTAAAGCTGCCCGAGACCCTTCCAAGGAAGTAAGCGCAGTGTCTTGACAGGTGAAGAATCCAGTTCCTCGCGTCCAACATCCTGACTGGTTGCATAAGAAGCTCTTGGAGAAGAATGATGTGTACAAGCAGAAGAAAATCAGCGAGCTCTTCACAAGTGAGGGCAAGAGACAGGTAAAAGCCCTTCCTACATGTTGCACAGGATGGGTAAAGATCCATTTTTAAAAGTCTTCAATTTTTAAAAAATGCTTTATTTCATACTTGGTTTGTGCCTGCTTTGCTACCAGAAAGGGCACCCAGGTATAAAAACAACAAGCTACTGCATTAAAAATGCAATGAAGCAGGCGGCAGCAAGAGCGAAGCACAGCCACCGCCCAGCCCAGCGGATCACGTGCTCACGAAGGCCCTCCTGGCTCGGGCCTGCTGGAGAGGGGCAGCAGAGGGAGGGCTAGCAGGGTCTTCCTCAGCTGCCCAGGAGGCCCCCTTTCTCTCTGCTGCCAGGCACGCCATTGGAGACGGCAGTTTCACAGGAAGGGCTTCTCCCAAAGGCCTCAAGAATGGAACAGGCTCAAGTGGGAGAAGGGAAGTCTTTCCGGGAGCCTGGTCCCTTACCTTGGTGGCCACGAGGAGATTCCTTTCCCTGGACTTTAGCCAGTCTCAGGATCTAAGGAGGCAGGGGACTTGATGAGCTCAGCACCTGTAGGACCATCCTCTCTTTCCCTGGTGTAGCTGCAGGGTCTGTGGGCAGCCCACTGGGAATGGGGCAAGAGTGGGGACAGCAACCCCTGCTGGGCGGGCAAGTCAGCAGCGGGGAAAGCCACATGCCTTGCTGGAGATGGAGAGGGCAAAGGGCATTCGGCCCATGCAGGAGCTGGTCTGCGGCTTAGCTGTGCCCGCCTGTCAGGAGGAGCAGTGACCACTTGCCCCACCTGTGAATTGTGCCCTGGATTGAAACTGGTCCCCGTCCCGCCCCCAGCTCCCCCAAGTACAGTGCAAGCTGCTGCACTTGGCTGGAGCGGCTGGCCTCCCCTGTTCTCCCAGCTTCTGTGGCTGCTGAGGCACCTGCCAAGGCCGCAGGAAGCGAGGCGCACCAATGCGTGCCATTATCTGGACCCATTTCAGTCCGGCTTCAGACCCGGGTACGGTACTGAATCTGCCTTGGTCGCCCTGTACGATGACCTGTGCAGGGAGAGAGACAGGGGGAGTGCGTCCCTGTTAGTTCTCCTGGACCTTTCAGCGGCTTTCGATACCATCGACCATGGTATCCTTCTGCATAGGCTGGCGGGACTGGGAGTTGGAGGCACTGTGTGGCGGTGGTTCTGCTCCTATCTCAACGGCAGATTTCAGAAGGTGGTGCTGGGGGACTATGGCTCTGCGCCATGGCAGTTATGCCATGGAGTTCCGCAGGGGTCCATTTTGTCCCCCTTGCTATTCAACATCTACATGAAACCACTGGGAGAGGTCATCAGGAGGTGTTGGCTGCAGAATCATCAGAACGCTGATGATACCCAGCTCTACCTCTCTTTCTCAACCGATCCAGGTGAGGCAGTGGCTGTGCTGAACCAGTGCCTGGCCGAGGTAATGGGCTGGATGAGGGCCAATAAACTGAAGCTCAGTCCAGACAAGACGGAGGTCCTGTTGGTGGGTGGTTCGGGCCTTGGGATGGGGGACTTGGGCCATGTCCTAAATGGGGTTGCACTCCCACTGAGGGACAAGGTCCGCAGCTTGGGAGTGCTCCTCGACCCTGAGCTGTCTGTAGAAGCTCAGGTGACGGCAGTGGCGAGGAGCGCCTTCCTTCAGCTTCGGCTGATCCATCAACTGCATCCCTTCCTGGAGAACTACTGCCTGGCGACAGTGACACACACGTTGGTAACTTCCCGATTAGATTTCTTAACGCACTCTACGTGGGGCTACCCTTGAAGACGGTCCAGATACTTCAGTTGGTGCAGAATAGAGCTGCCAGGCTGCTGATGGGGACTGGGCGTTGTTCTCATATAACCCCAGTTCTCCGTCAGCTCCACTGGCTCCCGATTGAAGTCTGGGCCCAATTCAAAGTGTTGGTTATGACCTATAAAGCCCTAAACGGCTTGGGACCTGGTTATCTAAAGGAATGCCTGCACCCATATATGCCCTCCTGCCCCTTGAGATCAGCAACAGATGTCCTTCTCTGGGAACCCTCTGTGAATGATATTAGGTGGGTGAGTACCCGTAGGAGGGCTTTCTCTGTGGTGGCGCCCCATTTATGGAATGCGCTCCCCAGAGAGGTCCGCCTGGCGCCGTCGTTATTTGTTTTTCAGTGCCAGGCTAAGACCTTTTTATTTAAAACTCATTTTAATTGTTAATTTATTTGTATTTATAGGATTTTAAATCTTTTAAGCTGAGATGCACCGGGTTTTAATATTTTTACTTGTATAATTGCTATATTTATGTATTTTGTTTTGTTGTGAGCCGCCCTGAGGCTTTGTTGTGATGGGGGCAGCATAAAAATGTTTTAAATAAAATAAATAATTTCTGGCTTGTGCTGTGGCTGCGTGTGCAGCGTGGGTCTGAGCCCGCGAGGTGCCCCCTTTGCCCCGCACGGCAGCCTTCCGGCCGCCCTGCGAAACATGAGCAGGGGTGCATTGCGCCCTGACTCCTCTGCCCTACCCCCCAGCCCCCATGTCCTGGGCCCACTTGCCACGGTTTCCCTCGCTTCCCCGGCTTGGCCGCCTGGCCAAGACCTTTCCCCTCCCAGCAGGGCTCCAGCTCCTGCCCCCAGAGGGCTCTGTGCCCTCTGTCCAGGGAGGCACGTGGAGCTGCGCCACAAGGGCCGGCCTGCTCTTTCTGTGCCAGCTCCAGGCCACACTCGCGAGGAGCATGGGGCTCGGGCGCCCGTCGTGTGAACGGAGCCTCGAGCCACTGGGCCTTTTCTTGGGTTGCTTGGGAAGTCTGCTTGGCAAAGCTGGTGCCCCATCCTCCGGATGTCTCCCTCAGGTCTGTGCAAGCCTGCCTCGGGAAGGCCTCCCAGGCACCCAAGTCGCCGACATGGAGGATTTTGGTATCGCCAGGCCTGCCCAGCCAGGAGTCCCGGTGACAACCAAGCGTAAACGGATCCCCACCACGGAGGAGAGCCAGCAGCAGTCCCAGAACCTGGAGCTCACGCAGTCCTGGCGGGAGATCCTGGGCCCACCCCCCCCCACTGGCACCACCAAGGTAACGCCACCCGGACTGGCAGCACAGCCAGCGGCGCTGCGCACAGGAGGCACGTCTTCTTTATCAAGGGCATTGGTGCCAGCGGTGGACCAACGGGGAGCAGCGCAAAATTCCCCAAGGGCTTGCAGGAGCAAGCAAGAGGTCTCTGCTTCAGAGGAGCTTGCGTTCGTTCAGACGGCCTCACTGGGGCCACAGGCCCAGCCGCTCCGTTCAGGGACTCAGACTCGCTGTATGACCAGGTTTCACTTTTGAAAAAGCACTTTTAGGTTCCCTCGGAAAGCAGAAAGGACTGTTGTGAGAGGCAGCTGCTGCTGCAGACACATCTCTCCCACTTTCCCAATTCCAGCAGACCAAGGTGAAAGGCTCCTGGAAACAAACGTGGTCCTTTGTTTGAGCTAGGCTGGCAGAGTGAGGAGGACAGAAGCTGCTAACAAGCAACATAAATCAAAGTAATGGGCCCTCCAGTTTGAGAAAAGTGCTTCTGCCCATGTGAGAAGTTGATTCCAAACTGAGTGCTGCCTACTCTCCTCCCTCCCAAAAGGCTTTGTTCCACCTGCAAGGATGTTCGTGCTGCTTGAGGGGCAGATGGCAGGAACAGCCCACATTGTTTGGCATGGCACCTGACCACTGGGTTGACAAACACGCACCCTTCCCCCGGGCGAACAGCATGACTGGTCTGTGGTCTAGTCTGGAACGGGTGCCTGGCCAGCTACTGCCCCCTCTGGCAAAAGGCACATCCAGGGATGTCAGAGGGCTACTCTTTCCCTCTTGCGATGAAAATACCCAGCATAGCTCAAGAAACTTCCTCTGGCACTGAGTGGAGACAGTGGGGAATGCATCTGCAGTTGCCTTGGACTTCAGCTCCCATAAGCCCCTGCCAGCGTGGCCAGTGGTCGGAGGTCCAGAACATCTGGAGATCCACTTGTGGCCCGTGCCTGCTCTAGGACCGTTTCTCAGGGGTCTGCCACTGAGTACTTCTACCTTTTGTACTGAAGACGACCTTTAAGATTTGGTTGGCAATTAGCAGAGTTTCTTTCCAGAGAACAACATGCAACTATCTTCTCTCCGCAGGAGGAGCGCCTGGTCTGGCTGCGCTACCACAAGAAGAAGTGGGAGCTGCAGGCACGTCAGCGTCAGGAGCGCCGGAAGAGGAGGCGGTTGGCAGATGGCAAGGTGGTCCTGGGTGGGGGACTGATCCGGGCTGGCCCCTCCAAGGGGCTCAGCAGCTTCCTGCACCGGACAGCACGCAGCATCCTCGACCTGCCCTGGCAGATCGTCCAGGTAAGGAGCATCGGGAGTGGGCTGAAGCCTCCCAGCGTGATGCAGAGAGAGGTGTGGGGCTGAGAGCATGCGGTGGTGACCAGCATCTGGTACCTGAAATGTTGGTGCCCACCATGTTTCTGGGCATCCTCACTTGGAGGAGGAAGTCAGTTGGCTCTTGGTCCATTTCCTTTCAGTTTGGGGCAGAGCGCAAAGCATTCCTCCTCAGCATTTTCCAACTTTCTATTAGCACCTATCCTGCCTTGTGCCCTCAAATGCCCAGTCTCTGTGTTACTGTCTTAAGAATCAAGAGTTCAGTCCAAGAGTCAAGGCCATATGGTTTGCATGCGTCCAAAGTTTCAGGTCAGGCTAGGGTGTCTGGAAGAGAACAGGCCAGAAATCTGGATACAGATTGGTTTTAACAAGGTCAGAGAATGCGGATAACAGTGCCTGTGCTTTGCCACGCAGAACAGCTCTGGCTGACCTAATGTACAGCCAGCTGTAGCTCAGCATAGCTGACAATTCAAGCCAGTCTGCCGTTTCACAGGAAACTCCCTGTTCAGGCTGCTTGGACTTCTGTTGAAGCTGGGCATGCTGCTGCTTTCTAAAGGGTGGATTTCCTCTGCCTCTGGCTCCTGCTCTTGGGGAGCCCAGGGACTGCCGAAGAGGAACCCGACTGCTCCTCTGGAGCCAGGCAGTCATCTGCGGCCCCAGCCCGTGCCTGACTGTGACTGGGGCCTGCTGTACCGGCCCTCTTCATCTGAGAATTCCTCCTCCGGGTGGGACATGACAGCACCTCCCGAGGGGTGCCCAGGTCTTGCCCCCTTTCATTCTCCCAAGCAATTACAGCGTCTTAATGAAAGCATCGCTTCTTACCTTCATGGCGGGTCAGTTCCCACCTCCCTGTTCTGCTGAAGTGCACGAGGAGCACCGACGCCTGCCTCCCGGGCCCTTCAGCTCCGCTTGTAGCTTGCACACAGGGCTGTCAGTGGTGCACCAGGAAGTCCCCAGCGAACATCCTGCACCTCGCAGGAGCCTCCCGATGACGTTCAGCAACCTTCCTCCCTCGTGCCAAGACATCTCCCTGCCGCTGTTCCAGTATAGCGATTGCAAGAGGGACTTGCCTTTCCGGTTATTGTAGAGCTGACTGCAGGAATAGAGAGGCATCACTTCGGACCCTCGAACCACGGCATCAAATGTTGTGCCGCAGAGGCATATTTGGCCAGACTTGAAACAACGGTGAAAGCCGACACGACTGAAGGATGGTGCGGCACCTGGTGCCCAGACAGCCCAGGACCAGAGGGTGCCGCTTCTGCAGGCCTTCGGGAAGTTTGCCATCCCTCTGTTCCAGGCCGCCTGTGCCCTCCTAGCTGGCAACGCTGCTCTTCCCACAGAGGGAGGGCTCTGCAGGCGAACACGGGCAGGTGCCGCTGTCTCGGTGCCTGCGGCAGAGCAGCACGGCCCTGCTTCTGAACCTGGTTTCCCAGGAGGCCGTGCTGGCTGCCTTTCGGCGCCTCAGTAGCTCCTCCTCTCTGAGCGTCGCACCTGGGAAGCTTGGAGTTGCTCAGGAAGGCTCTCTGGTCCTGCCTCTGGGCGTTGTATCGGCTCAGTTAATGGCAGAGCGCTGTGTGTGTGTGTGTGTGTGTGTGTGTGTGTGTGTGTGTGTGTGTGTGTCAGAGAGAGAGAGAGACCTCTGACTGAGAAGAGACACCCAGCCAGGACCACTTCCTTTCACACTTCAGGGATCGAGGGCAAGGAGGCTGCATTCTCTGTGTAACTGAGAAGACCACAGAGGAGGTTAATGTTCTGAGAACTTTAATAGCAGAATTCATTTCTTTTATTTCTATACTGCCCACAGCCAACACTTTGCATGTATGGAAAGCTGGGAACTAGGATTGTGAACTACTCTGGGCAGAGACAGAGCTGTTTGGTTTGCAGATTTCTCAGGAAGTCAGACTCGCCTACGTTTTGTGTTCTGTCTGGCCAGATTTGCAAGGCAGTTCAGTATACAAAGCAGGTCTGCATAAGATGTCTCGGTTGCTCTTTTGTTCTGCAAGCGCACCTGTGAGGTTGGCTCTCTGCTCTCCGGATTGCCCTTGCAGCACAGAGACGCTGACCGTGAGCCAGGAGAAATTAGAGGAGGTGGCAAGTGTGCTTGGAAGGCTTAGTCAGAACTTGCCCCATGGAAGTATCTGGCCCCTCTGCTCCAGGTGGGCACCGTCAGCACGTCATGGTGGCCTGTGAGTGTCTCAGTGATGCAGGCGGGCAGGTGGGAGCATGCGGGGACGAGCTCCCTTTTTCTGGAAGTGGGGCAGCCGTGGGTGGAATGGCAGCAGCGTGCAAATGTGGAGGCAGCAGGTGAAGGGAGGGGGCTTGGGAGGCGGCTCTCAGTGATGGCCAAGGGGTGGGGTGGTGGCCAGAGCAGCAGAGGGACGGGCGGCCAGTGGAGGAATACTGGCAGCGCCGTGGCTATCACAGGGTGTGAACTTGTAGAGTCCACTCAGGCCTCGCCCTTCTGGGGGACAGGCTGGCCATGGGGCTTTGGACTGCAGCATGTGCCTTTGTGAATGGGGGGGACACTTCAAGGCCGGGGCCAGGTCTGGCCTTCCTATGGTTCCTTCTGGCTCTCAGAATCCCCTTCCAGCCTCCGATTGTTGGTGGTTTCCTGCATTTTGTGCATCTGGAATGGCTAAGCTGCTGCCACGGAGAACTTAATGCCGGCCACACCCCCTTGACTTTAGCCCCGCCCACCCCTGCCATGTGGCTTCCAAGAGCATCTCTGCACCGCAATTCAGCCCTCAGGCTGAAAGTGGTCCTGCACCCCCGCCCTGAGGGAACAGGCTGGCGTGGGGGGACCAGCTTCCTGGCCGTCTTCGGATTGTGTCCAGTGGCTATATTAAAAAAAAGTTTGCTTCCAAATCTGAGAAAGGCAAAGTAGGTGCACCTTGTTGTGCTTCATACTGTGTTTTGCTCACACCTGCTTTAAACGGTTCTGAGATGCCGGTGATTTGTAAACACCATTTGATCTTTGTCCATAGTCATCTCTTCCCTCTCTGCTTCTGAGTTTTCCCTCCGCTGAAAAGCGGTCCAGAATTGCCCCCACCTACCACATCCCGCAGCCTCGCTTTCCTGATAGCTCCCTCCCCCCCCCACCCACCCCACCCACCCGACTCCCTCTTCTCTTCCAGATCGCAGAGACAAGCCAGGAAGGCCTCTTCAAGCTGTGGGCTGTGATCGGGAGCGAGCTGCACTGCCTGAAGCTCAACGTGCCTCGGGTCTTCTACATCAACCAGCGTGTCCCCAAGCCGGAGGAGAGCACTGTCTATAGGAAGGTGGGTGGGGTCACTTCCTCGGCCCGCAGGGGAGGCCAGTGGCAGAGTGTGGCGCAGCGTCCCATGCTGCGTTGGGCCCAGAACCCTAGGGTGATCTCGGATGCCATTGCACAATGGACTTCCGCTCCGGAATGCCTGGATCAATGGGTTCTCCCGCTGTGGTGGGAGCTGCCCCTTCAGCTCGCTTCCCAGAGGCAGCCATGCAAAGGAAGCCCCACCTGGCCCAGTCCTGCCCTCCCCCAGGTCCAGTCCTGGCTGCTTGGAGCCACCAGAACTCCAGCCCTGCGAACTTCCAGGTACGCCGGCTGCCCCATCTGTCCTCCACCTCTTCAGTCTCCTGGCCCATGGGTCTTCTGACCTCGCTCCTCTCTCCTCACCAGAGCTGCCCAGAGAGAGGAGCAGAGCCCCAGGCAGGCACAGCCCTCCTCTGAATCAGCGCCCCATTTTGCAGAGCTCAGGCAGGCGTTTAGCATCAGCCCAGGAGCGAACTGTGAATATGACAGCCAACCAAGAATGTGGAACTGCAGGCCCAAAGGTGGGATCCAGTCTCCTGGCATCCCTCACCTTCCTGCTCAAGGGTGTTCAAGGACAGGCTGGATATGCACGTGGGAGGCATGTCATGGAGCCGGGGGTCAGACTAGATGGCCCGGGAGGCCCCTTTGGACTTGCTCTGTTTCTGTGTTTCCCTCCAGGATTCCACAAATGAGCCTGCTGCTTTTTCCGCAGCCACAAATCATTTGCTGGGTTCCCTGCCTTTGCCATTTTCTCCCATTCTAAAAGATGGACGTTTTTCTAAGGCTTAATTACTAGCTGTAAGACCTTATCCCAAAATATCTCAAATGTTTTGGTAGTTTGGTCCCACTCCTTTGATCCTCACTCTAAAGTTGAGCTGAAAGGGGCAGGGCTGCTATGAACACTCAGGGAATCAAGGCGGGCCACTCAAGCTGCAAATGTTGCATTTGCCTCGGCTTTGGTCCTGGCTTGATGCCTCCGCTGCCCTTGAGGCAGAGCTCGCGTCGCACCATGGCAGCCCGGCGTCCTCCAGTGTCTCCCTGCCCCCTCGCCTTCCTCTGCAGCTGATCAGTGGGCTGTCGGTAAGACACGTGGCCGCCTCTGCTGGCCTTAATTATGACACAAACTAGAGAGGGATGGCTGCTGCTTGGGGCAGTGGCAAAACATTTTCCTTAAAATATAATGTGCTCTGGGGAAGGGTAGAAAAGGGGGCCAAGGGGGACTTGGTGCCGTGTTGCTCAGTCACAGGAAGACCTTCCCAAGCCCTCTCCATTTTGTGAGTGAACAAAACACACCTCAGCCTTAACTTCTTCAGCAGTTCAGAGGCACCCCAGAATACATGAAACTGCAAAGTTCTTCATTGTGGTCTCTGTGCATCACACCTGTATGGGTGCTGCGCCTGCACAGTGCCTGTATTCGGGAAGATATCACAGCTGTAATGGTTTTGGCAGGAACTCTGCACCCCCTCCCATCAATGGGCAGAGTCCCCACCCGCTCGCCAGTCTGCTTTCAACCGCCATCCACTGTGCCGCGGGCTGTTTTGCTTCACTCTCATGTTTTCTCACCTAAAAACCTACTTTATTTGTCTTTACAACTTATCTTACAACTTTATTCCCTATTATTATTATTATTATTATTATTATTATTATTATTATTACATTTCTATGCCGCCCCTTGCCGAAGCCTCGGGGTGGCTTACAACACAATAAAATACATTGACATACAATAGAACATAATAAATTACCATTAAATACAAAAATACAAAAAAATACACTGAGTTACAAACACAATAATATAAAATTAAAATTATCAGTATAAAATAAGTAAATAAATAATATAGGAGGAGAAAAGAGAAGGAAGAAGAGAGTTGCCCTGGCCAGATCATATATTTTAACAATTAAAATGATGTTTAAATAAAAAGGACTTTACCTGGCGCCGAAAAACCAGTAACGACAGTGCCAGGTGGACCTCTTTGGGGAGTGAATTCCATAGGTTGGGCGCCACCGCAGAGAAAGCCCTCCTCCGAGTACTTACTCTCCTGATTTCTTTCATGGAGGGTTCCCAGAGAAGGGACTCTCCCGCAGATCTCAAAGGGCGGTCGGGCATATACGGACGTAAGCGCTCGTTCAGGTAGCCAGGACCCAAGCCATTTAGGGCTTTATAGGTCATAATTAACACCTTGAATTGGGCCCGGGCTTCAATGGGAAGCCAGTGAAGCTGACGGAGGACTGGAATCATGTGAGCATAACACCCCGTCCCCGTCAGCAACCTGGCAGCTCTGTTTTGCACCAATTGAAGTGTTCGGACCGTCTTCAGGGGAAGCCCCACGTAAAGCGCGTTACAGAAGTCTAGGCGGGAAGTCACCAGCGCGTGTGTCACCGTCACCAGGTAGTCGTACTCGAGGTAGGGGCGCAGCTGATTAATCAGCTGAAGCTGAAGGAAGGCGCTCCTCGGCACCGCTGTCACCTGAGCTTCCAATGAAAGCTCCGGGTCGAGGAGTACTCCTAAGCTGCGGACCTTGTCCCTAAGAGGGAGTGTTGCACCATTCAGGACCAGGTCAAATCCACCCTCTCCGAAGCCCGATCCGCCAACCAACAGGACCTCCATCTTGTCTGGGTTGAGTTTCAGTTTATTGGCCCTCATCCATTCCATTACCTCGGCCAAGCACTGGTTCAGCACAGCCACTGCCTCACCTGGATTAGTGGAAAACGAAAGGTAGAGCTGGGTATCATCAGCGTATTGATGATTCCGCAGCCCACACCTCCTGATGATCTCTCCCAGCGGTTTCATATAGATGTTAAATAGCAGAGGGGATAGGATGGAGCCCTGTGGTACTCCATGGCATAGCTGCCATGGCGCAGAGACATGGTCCCCTAGCACTACCTTCTGGAATCGACCGTTGAGATAGGAGCGGAACCACTGCAAAGCAGTGCCTCCAACCCCCAATCCCGCTAGCCTATCCAGAAGGATACCATGGTCAATGGTATCGAAAGCCACCGAGAGGTCCAGAAGAACCAACAGGGACACACTCCCCCTGTCCTTCTCCCTGCACAGGTCATCGTACTGGGTGACCAAGGCAGATTCAGTACTGTACCCGGGTCTGAAGCCGGACTGAAATGGGTCCAGATAATCAGTTTCATCCAAGAGTGCTTGGAGTTGTCCTGCCAGCACTCGCTCCAACACCTTGCCCAGAAATGGGATGTTGGCCACAGGTCTATAGTTAGTGGCCATCTCTGGATCCAGTGACGCTTTCTTCAGGACCGGTCATATTACCGCCTCCTTTAAAGGGGCACGCACTTGACCCTCCCTCAGAGAAGCATTAACCACTTCCAAGATCCAGGTCCCAATCCCGTGCTTGGAGTTATTTATTAACCAAGACGGGCAAGGATCCAATAGGCAAGTGGTGGGACGTACTCGTCCAAGCACCTTGTCCACATCATCGGGCCCCAATTATTGAAATTCCTCCAATAATTTTGGACCAGACGGTAGCATTGGCGTCTCCCCAGAGACCTCTGATTCATTAGTGGAGTCCAGCTCGTGACAAATCTGAGCAATTTTCTCCCTGAAATGCCTGGCAAAGTCGTCACAGCGGGCCTTTGAGGGTGGCATCGGATCTTCCTTAGGACCCGGGCGAACCAGGCCTTGTACCACTCGAAAAAGCTCCGCCAGACGGCATTGTGAGGAGGCAATGGAAGCGGAAAAAAACTTCTTTTTCGCCGCCTTCACCGCCACAGCATAGGCCCGATAGTGGGCTCTCAAGTGTGTTCGGTCAGATTCATCCCGTGATTTCCTCCACCTACGCTCTAGTTGTCTCCCAACCCGCTTCATCGCCCGCAATTCAGGTGTATACCAAGGGGAAGAGCGGACTCTGCCCGGTGGGAGAGGACGCTTGGGAGCGATCGTGTCCACAGCCCTGGTCATCTCTCCGTTCCACAGTTCGACCAGAGCCTCGACAGGAGCACCAGTCTTGTCAGCCGGAAACCCCCAGGGCCTTCAGGAATCCATCCGGATCCATCCGGCTCTGGGGGCGGGCCCATACAATCGGGTCCGCACTCTTATAGAGGGAGAGGCCGCTCTCGAGCACAAACCTCACCAGGAGGTGATCTGACCATGACAGGGGAGTCAAACATAAGTTCCTCACCCTCAGGTCATCCTCTTCCTGCCCCATCGAGAAAACCAGGTCCAGAGTGTGTCCACGTTCATGGGTCGGGCCGATGACGTGTTGAGACAGCCCCATGGCCGTCATGGAGGCCATGAAGTCCTGAGCCGCCCCGGTCAGTCCAGACTCGGAATGGAGATTGAAGTCCCCCAGGACCAACATCCTGGGGGTCCTCAACACCAGGTCCGAGACGGTCTCTGTCAGCTCAGATAGGGAGACTGCTGGGCAGAAGGGTGCATGGTACACCAATAGAATCCCCAATCTGTCTCGTTCGCCCGACACCAAGTAAAGGCACTCCAGCCCTGGTCTCAAAGGGACCGGAAGACCCGTGAGAGA